GGCGCGGGTGGGCGGCGGGAGGGGCACCGCTTGCGAAGTGTTGCCGCCGCCCGATCCTACCTGTAGCTCTGCTGGGCTCTTCTCACCCTCCTGTCATCATCCTTGCACGTAACCGCAGCAGCCGTTTAGCTTGCCGGTGGTGATCAGTAGCTCTGCAAAAACAGTGTAAGAGGGGTTATGGTGTAGTGAACTGCAGAACCGACCCAGAGCAGGTGTGAGGTGTACAAGACAGTCAAATGTTCAAAAGTCTAACCAGGTCTTTGCCCCTGGTGTCACGCTCATCCTGACTTACTTTTTTTCCTCCTCAACTGTTGTGCAACCTCCCAAGCATGTAAGCCTTCTCTTGCTGATGTAACCAGCATAACCTTTCTTGTTTCCCATAGGCAAGGCTTTCCCAGGGGTGACCAGCTTTAGAGTTCAGGATGTGTCCAAGCTAAACAACCTTTCCTTCTCCACACCACTTTTATTTTACTTATACAGGAAAAAAACTACTGCAACTTCTTGAGCTCTAAGTGCTAGGAAGAGGCAGAGAGGAAAGGGCAATTCCTGTTTCCTTAAATCTGGCTTTGTAGTTCCAGTTTCTTAAAAGGATGACCACCTCTCTTCCTGAGAAATCCACTACTTCTGCAGTGGTGGATATTGTTGGTCCTACTGGTTATCACCCTCTCAGTCCTGGGAGGAAAGAAGTGCAGATGGTGGGAAAAGGCTGATTGGTGGGATACATCTACCTTCCCACAAAACTCAGGTAACCAGCAATAGGTGTCTTTGTGGACAGTTCTCTCTCCTTGCTCTCTTAGACCGCCTTGGCTTCCCGCAACATCAGTCAATTTTTAGCTTTTCAACAAACACCATCTTCCTAGCAGCTGGAAGCAAAGTAAATGATTAGACTAACTTGTGTTAGTCTAACCTAGCGTGTTCAATTTCTGGAAGGGGCACGCAGGAATTCCTCCCTTCCTTGTTGTAGTTCTCTGGAAAGGGGACAGGAAGGTTTATGGCTGCAAGGGCACCTGACTAGAAGGCAGAGCACAAGTTATGCCCAGGCCTTGCATGGGCTGCAGATCTTGGGGTCAGCAGGGTTTCCAAGTTCTTCTCTTCACGTGCAACGCCAAGGCAAGAATTTTAAACTTCTCTTTTTTTTTTTTTTTTTTTTTTTTTTAATGAGTGAGGGGGTCCAAACTTGCAAACTTGCTCTCCATCAGCTACAGCAATAGAAAGGGAAGCAGCCCCTTGACACAAAAAAAAAGCTCTGCTGCTGTGACTGATAAGTGAACCAATATTAATGGTTATACTCATATTGATATAGTTCCTCTTATGTAGGCTATGATGCATGGACAGGGAGAATAGTTCCTTCCCTTTGTTGATAACAGGTCCTCCCTTTCAGGTGCTCCCATCCTGAGCCACAGAGGCAGCTTATCTCCTTGAACCAGAATGCTTCATAACTTTGTGATTACAAAGAGGTGCCACATATAATTTTCCTTAATGTACCAGTTTGTACCATGTTTTTTCCTTACTGTGGGATGTCCCAGATGTCTCCCTGTGGGAGGGGGAACTCCTGCTGTTCTTCAGGGTAACTGGTGCCTGCAGACAAATCTAAATTTCTCTTCCTATTTGTAGTCATAAAGTATCTTGATAGTGGTGTGACTGAAACATGATAAGCAACATGTGTAACGGTTATTTTAATAACATTGGTATCTCTGAAACAAACCTGTGGCAGCAAGCAAGGTGCATGTGATTGCCCTTCATTTTCATAAGCACAACCGTTTTTCTTCCTATGATTCTTTATACAGGGTCATCCATAGATTTTCTCTGCTGGCTTTGTGGGAGTGTGAGGTGCGGAGGGCAAGCATGTTATGCCTGAAGGAGGGGAGCTTGAGTCTCTTTAGCTGAAGTGGTAGCAACTTGCATTTGTAGTCCCCACTGTGTTGAGCTAGGTGGTGGCTGTCACAGACGGGCTTCGTCTTTACCTCATCAGATACTCTTTGAGCTAGCATCACTTCAAGAACATACATGTCTTGTTCTTAAAGGCTGTGTATATTGTTATAAATCTGTGGGTTTCTGTGCCTTTGGGGACTACCAAATGTTTTCCAGTGCGGATGTCCATCCTTTTGGAAACTTGCCTGTAAGGATTGGTGTGGTGTTCGTGAACTTGCTTTTCCAAGACACTTTCTGCAGAAATCTTTACTCACGCCTCCTTCCTTTCATGTTTTTGTGTTCCTTGTCTCAACAGATGGGAACTGCTCAAACTACTAAATGTTTTCCAGTGTGGATGTCCATCCTTTTGGAAACTTGCCACATGTAAGGATTGGTGTGGTGTTCGTGAACTTGCTTTTCCAAGACACTTTCTGCAGAAATCTTTACTCACGCCTCCTTCCTTTCATGTTTTTGTGTTCCTTGTCTCAACAGATGGGAACTGCTCAAAACAACAGTGACCTCAAAAAAGTCCACACGGTGGAGCCTGACCTGTGTAACAGGGACATGATGGCAGACACATTTGATCACAGCATTATTTCTGTTGGAGAAGAGGAAGGAGCAGGCAATTTCCAACGTTCTCTTCCAACACGAGAGTCCATCCAATCCCCTCGGGGCTCTGTTGTGAGTTTCCATAACATCCAGTACTCCGTTAAGCAGTCCAGTGGATTCCTATGTAAAAGGAAAACTGTGGAAAAGAAGATCCTTCATAATGTTTAGTAAGTTCTTGCATAAGTAAAATACCAGAGGGTAAGAATTAACCTGCTGCTGTGAATTGGTGACCCTGGTGTCACCTTCCATATCCAGCTGTGCTGGTAAAGAAATTACTATCCTCCTGCCAGTCCACAGTTCATGTGAGCACTTTCTAATTTGCTTTTAGGCAGAATAGCTGTGATGTAGCTGGAGCAGTTTCAGTTTTTGATCTGAGCAAATTAGGACCAAACTTGTGTGAACTCTTCTACCAGAAGATCTGAGAGTTCCCTTAACTATGGTTCAAGCTGTGGTGAGAGGAAATGAGCAGCAGAGTGCAGTTGCTGCTTCTTTTCAAGACCCAGCTCGGCAGGGAAGACACTTAATTTCTGTCTTTTGTAGATTGCTTTTTATGTCTAGTTATGGTTCTGTTCTGATTGGCAATCTGGGACAAGAAAGGAAAAATGCTTATTGATTTCAGATTTAAGATGTTTTTAATAATCTCTAAGTTTTCCTTTCGACAGCATTTTGTTCACACCTTATCTCTACTATGATCTGCATGTGAGCAGTCCTCCATGTGGAAATAACTCTTTCCTTCTTCCAGTGGCATTATGAAGCCAGGCTTGAATGCTATCCTGGGGCCAACAGGGAGCGGCAAATCTTCGTGAGTACTTTCTTCTGCTCCTTCAAATGGACAAAGAGGATTTGGGACTCTGAGGGTTAGGGAAGATGTGAGGGATCTGTAGGCTCAGACCTCTGTGTGCCTGTGAGAAATCTGGCGATGCAGTCTGACCTCGTGGCTCTCTGCTGTTGGCTTTGCTGGAGTTCTTGCCCTGCAATGGTGTCACACTCCTCATCTGCTCCAGTGGTGGTCCATATTACTGCCACCTTTGGTGGTGAGCTAAGATATCAGGTTGAACTGGGGTGAGTGGAGCTCAGGTGTAGGCTCTGTCCTAGACCTGTCATGAGGTGGGGAGGGGGGCAAGATCCTTTGAGGATAGGAGGGATGTTGTCCCCTGGGAAGTTGCTGCTGCAAGACTTTCTTGAAGATGCTAGGCAAACCCATCTCTGAGGACTGACAGGAATATGGTGTCATGTCAGTCTGTAGGATGCTCTGGATCCTCACCCCAACTTGGCTGTGGCCTGGTGGAGGGGGTGCACATGTGCTTGAGTTCTTTGGATGCAAGCACAAAGAAACACCATGCAGACTACCTCCAGCCAGTGCTGATACTGTTTTCTCACCCATATAACCATGGTAAGAGAGCTCTTTGTCACTCTCTGCCCTTGAGAACGTCAGAGACTGGCAAACACGGCCAGGGTTCACACAGGTGTGTCTTTTTGGTGACCCTTGATCTTTCCCTCTGAGCAGACTGCTGGCTAATCAAGATGTTTTCATTAGGGTGGTGTGTACTTGGCAGGCAGGCTGGCCTCTGCACTGGCAGTAAGGAGAATCCAGTGATAGGTTAAAACAAAATTACTTTATAGAATTAATATTAAATCTAGTTTTGTTTATGCCCATTTCTTGAGATCAAAGTAGTTACTCCTGTGCCTTCATTGCTGAGAGCAGACTGCAGACTGCAGCTACGCAGCAGGGTGTGCTCTTGCTTCTGTGCATTTGAGGTTAGCTGTTCATACCGAGGCTGAGGTTACGTCTGTAGGGGGCTGACTGCTGTGAACTGTGAGGGTCTGTATACTACCGTACTGCTGTGGCACACCTGATTCTGGCAAATCCTCTCTCCACACTAGGCTTTCTGGTGCAAAGAGCTGAAGCCCCTAGAGTAGAGGGGTGCTCTTTGGTTTGCAGCACGCTGTGAGCAGGCTGTAACTGCAGTCCTGACTGGTGGTACTTAGCCAGTCAAAGGTAAAAGCAGCTGTTAGAGCAAAACCTGATGCCTGATGTTTATCTGAAGTCTCCTAGATGTGCTGGCTGCCAGAAAGGACCCAGCAGGCCTGTCTGGAGAAGTCCTTATAGACGGCATCCCACAACCTCCAAATTTCAAGTGCATCTCAGGATATGTTGTGCAGGTGAGTAACTGCCTTCAGTGGAAGCCTGGGAGCCCTTAGGAGGTAAGACCGCATAAGATGAGCAAAGCATGAGGTTAGGTTATTTTCAGTGATCCCTACAGATTCTAATTTGATAACTCAGATGTTACAGTATTTAGTATTTTTCTAGGATATGGAGGACAAGAGGACTCAAACCATTAACTCCAACCAAGTCAAGCATGGAGGTGTTTGTCTTCCCAAAGCCACACGGATGTACAAACTACTGGGCTACTCTGGTTTGTTCTTTGGGCTCTGCCCTGAAGTACTAGTAAGGATTTTAGAAAAAATAAAAAGGTGAGGGAAAAAACCACAACACCCAAAATCTCTTGTTGTGAAACTCAGAATCAAGTTCTAGCTGGCAGAAGTACCTTCAAGCTATCAGACAATAATTCTAGGAAGTAAATAGATCCTTGCTGTTCTTCCTCTGATTCTGGCTGGCTGGGATAGAGCTTCATTCCACTCAGAGACAGGAAAAGCTGGCTGAATCTGCGGAATTGGGTGGAGGCCTGGACCAATAATAGACCCTTGAAGCCCTGGGGGAGTTGAGGAGAAGGGGATTCTTGGCAGCCACATGAGCAGCCAAATCTGGAAACCATCCAGGCTTTTGACTGCAGGCAGCTGTGAAATTGGCAGCTTTTCTGAAAGCTGCCAGCTGGGGGGTTCTGGGAGGATGCCTGTGACAAGACTGATGCTGAATCTTGATCCTGTAGGTCAAAGATCCCCAAATCATCCATGTTTCATGAATGGCCAGAAAGTTTATTGCAAGTGGTCTCAGTCTGAAACATTTGTCTCTCAAATGTCCAAATCAACCAAATTTTAACCTTAAAATGACAGGCAACTAGGTGAAATATTAAATGGTCTCTCTCCCACCCCTGTGCAGTGCTCCCTAGATCGATAAAGATGGCCCAAAAACTACAAGCAACACTTAAGGCCTAAGAACATGAATACATACATACATACTTATAGGGTCAGTTTTATGCAGATGAGCTTATAGACCTCCTAAGTCATGTGTTATCCCTATAAAACTGCTGGTGGTCTCTGCACTCATGCCTTGCAAGTGAGGGTCTCATGTCACAGTTTGTTAAGTTTGGTATTAAGGCAGATTAAATGCACAGTTTAGTCACCAGTGTGGTGATCCTGCAGTTGCATTGGTGGATCTGAGGATGGGGAAGGGAAGGCTAGGGTGAGAGGCTGAGCGTGTGTGAAGAGGGAAGAAATGATAGGAAATTCCTAAATCAGCTTTGGCAGCAGAGCCAGTTTATCATAATACTACACCCTGAGTAATCTGTCACATACTTCTAGCACAGCAGCATGTACAGTCTTCCTGTTAACTCCAGTGCCAAACAGGGTTGGCTGGCACATCCTTTGTGCTGCTGATCAACTACATCTGGTGTGGAAGGAGTTCCAAAGCAGGCAAGAATCTGTTGCCCTGCAGCTTAGAGGCTGTGCCTTCCAAGAGGCACTAGATTTGAAAGGTGCTTTGAAACAGGAATGTCTCTGAGCAGCTGCCCAGTGTGGCAGCCCTTCTCCCATCATATGGTGGGATGCAGAATTGGCTTGAATATCAAAGCGGGGGTGATGGAGAGGCATGAAGCTCTGGATGGACCTGGTGTCAACCCTGTTTGGCTCATGGTTGTTACAGGTTGGTGTAGGCTGCCCAGATGTTTGTCGATTGAAGAGATATGATTCTTACTCAAAATGCACGAGTGTTGTAGTTTTTCTAAAGGGTTAGCCCTTAGAATAAGGTCTTGTGCGCAAGAGTTATAGATAGTTGAGACATGGGAAAAACAGGAGCATCTTGGTGCAATACTCTTGTTTCTCAAAGGAGGTGCTGCCAGTGAGGAGTTGGGGAGAGCTCCTTGTTGGCAACTGAACTCGGCAGGTGCTCGGGATCACAGCAAGATCTGGCCTGTAACCGGGAACAGAGCTGACTTGGGTGACTCCCTGAGTGTCTGCCTAGAGCACTGAGCACTAGCAATGTCTGCTGGCTTCAGCTGGATTGGCTGAAGTTTAAATTTTTACAAAAGCAGCTACCTGCTATGTCTCCCTTTGGCTGGTAAGGAAAATTCAAGTGTAGTACAATATGGTAGTCTGTACTTGGACTCGTGAGCGTGAAAGCAGGCTGAGGTGGTGTTTGGTGTAAGCTGGGAGCCTGTAGAGCTGCATTCTCCCCTTGACTGTTCCTGAGTGACCTTGAATTTTGTATCGTCTAAGTTTTGAAGCAGGGGTTCTCCCTCACACAGTTTCCACTTTGGTCCACAAACAGCTTATCCAGCAACTGTCAATACAGGGACTCTGGTGCCCAGTCAGGTAGCTGAGAAACAGGCCTTACAACTGTACATTTCTACTGCTTTCAGGATGATGTTGTCATGGGCACAATGACGGTGAGGGAGAACCTGCACTTCTCTGCTGCCCTGCGACTCCCTAGCTCCATCAGCGTTAAGGAGAAGGAAGAGCGAGTCGCCCAGATAATCAGCGAGCTGGGATTAAACAAAGTGGCTGATGCTAAGGTGAGCAGTGAGAACGTCTTTCTCAGAAAACATACTGTCTCTGGAAACTGAACTACTTGACTCTGACCAGTATAGCAGCTACACTAAGCTAAGTAGGAACATGACTGAACCACACTGCGCACAAGAAATCAGTCTCCAGCTCAGGAGATAGTTTGGAAAGAGGTATGTGATTTTCTGCTAAAAGGGCAAGATTTTGTACCCTATCCAGTATGTTGTATAAGTTCAGAAGGGAAAAAGTCACTTAGTCATTGCACCTTGGAAAGCTGCTCTGTCACTTCCTGGCTTTGTGGGACAAGACAGGGAAATTATTTTTACAGTGCTGAAAGCTGTGGGAGATTGAAAACTGAGCTGTGATGGAGCAGTTCTGTGCAGAGCTTCTTCCTGCCAGCAGCATTTTTACTCTTACTTTACTTTTACTTTACTTACCCCACTCGATCAGCAGATGAGCTACCAACAAAAGGCATCCTTGAACACCGATGCCACCTCTGACTGCTGTGGTCTCATTCCAGCTCTTCCTTGTCACTGTCATCCTTGTTTCCTGGTACCTCTGAAAATCAGGCTCTGCTTACTGCTACACAGTCCCTCACACTGAGTCAGACCCATCATCTGCTTCTGGCCCCGGAGTTCACTAATGGGATTCTGGGCCTGCCAGATGTGAAGAGCCCTGAACTCCAGAGCATGCACTGACTGCATATGAAACCTGCAAATGGCTGATTTTTTCTGCTTGTAGGTAGGAACTGAATTCATCCGAGGAGTGTCTGGAGGGGAGCGGAAGAGAACCAACATCGGGATGGAGCTCATCACAGAGCCACCAGTCCTTTTTCTGGATGAGCCAACAACTGGCCTTGACGCCAGCACAGCCAATGCAGTCCTCATCCTCTTGAAGAAGTAAGAGTCAGTTCTTCAGGGCCCTGCTGCAATTTTGTTGTGAGCTCATTAGTGAAAAAAGAAAAGCTGTTATGACTGAGTAGCTACAGTGCTCTTTTTAAAAAAAAAAAAAAAAAAAAGCTCAGAAGTGGTAGGAAATTATTTTTTTGGGTCTTGTCCAAAGCCTTTTGAAGTTGATGGGAATCTTTCCACAGCAAGCACTGCATTGGAGCCCAAAGAGCCGATGTAGCTTGGACAGCTTCCCTTTGCCACAGAGAGGGGTGGACTGGGAGGTCAGGCCTTGTAACCATAAATTTTTTGCCTTCCAGCTGAGTCTATTACAAAGTCTTTTCCTCCACTCCAGCAACAGCCTTGAACTCAGATCAGACTTCACCTGCATAATTACCCTCAGTGTTTACCTTCCTCTGCTATGTTTTGGAGATTAACTGTCTTCTGGTACAAAAAAGACCAAACAAGGCTTATTTAATGAGAACGAGTTCCTAATCCTACTCATGGGTTTGTAGCATATTGCCTGGTTTTGCTTGCAGGGACATTTTGCTCTGCTGTTTGTGGATAGAGGCCTTTGACTGGCAGGGATACATGTTGGGCATCAGTGCTAAAGCACTTGAAATAGTGTCTGACAAACCTGGAGGAAAACTAGTTTTGATTGTTCTAGAGAAGAACAGAAGAAGAAGAAGAACTCCAGCAGAAGCACTAAGTAGAATCTCAGCTGGCCAGACTTCCACAGCCTGCTGCATAAAGCCTGGTACTGCCATAGGGTGCAGTAGGACCATTCCAGTTAGTCAGGTTGAACCCTGGAACAGAAAATGTGTAAGGAGGGTTTATACACAGCTGTGGCCTCAGCCTTTGCTAGCTACAGCTAAATTTTTCTATGTGGACTGCAATGATAGTCCCTTGTAAAGATGGGTGTTGCCTTGAAGGTCTTGCAGGCAGCATCTGACACATAGTGACAGATAAGGGAGAACTACAGCTTTTCTGTGTCGAGACCCTGAGAAAAAGACAAGTATTTGTTTTGGATTTGGATACTTATTTTGCTTGGGTTAACATGACCTTTCTGAAGTGCAAAGTATGGTGTATTTGAGTGATGTTTTTTTTCTATTTCAGGCTCTCAAGAAGAGGGCGAACCATCATATTTTCCATCCATCAGCCCCGCTATTCCATATTCAAGCTGTTTGACAGTCTGACATTACTAGCTTTGGGAAAGGTGCTGTACCATGGTCCTGCGAAGCAGGCCCTGGAGTACTTTAGTTCTATTGGTAAGTCTTCTGTGCCAAGAGCAAAGACAACTGGATAATGAGTCTAATGTGCAGGTAGATTCTTACCCTAGCACTGGTTAACAGTCCTGCACTGCTTTATCACTAGGATGCTAGAGGCTGTACACATACAGTCTGAACAGTGTTATGTTAGAACAGGAAAAAAACAAAATGATAAAACTGTAATTTTTCAGACAACACAGAGCATGGCGCTCTCCTGCTTTGCCTTGCATCAGGACAAAAACCCAGAATCGCTGGGACATTTAGAAGCCTGATGCACAATAGACAAGATGATGCTTGTAGTTCTGCGAGGCCCTAGGTGGCAGACCTAGTGGGATTTGAATCACAGCCTGCAGATTGGCAGCAATCAGTAGGGACTGATCCAAGAATTTGACCAGTTTGAATGCAGGTGGGTGACCCAGAGGACAAAAATCATGGTGTGTCTTAAGATGGGTTAATAATTGCAAAGTTGGGTGGCTGCACCCTCTCCAGGCAAGTGGCGTGAGAGCTTCTCACTAAAATGGACAGAGAATGTGGAGTGAGTTTCCAGTCTACTGTACATGCAGCCATGGACACATTGGATTGTAAGGTTTCCCTGGCTTTAAGGGAGATACTTTAACCAATCACACTACTGCTACTCCTCCTCTTAGTATCCCACGTCACTTCCTTTCCCTCAGGAATCCTTGTGTTTGGGTTTGGGGTTTTTTCCCCTTTCCTCCTTGTCCCATAGCTAGAGCCATATTATAAGAAGCTGCTCTTGGGCAGTCCTTCCTCTTCCTTGTGGCTGAGGAAACACAAGCGAGAGTTGAGCTTCTAGAGCAAGCAACTGAGGCTGTAGAGCAGACATCCAGCAGCCTCTACTGGGGAATGTGTGTCTTTCTGAGTGGGATGTGGTTGAACAGCAATAGGAAGGAGACAAGGGTTGTCCATGCTGAGCTGTGTAGAAGCAAGTTACAGATTTCTCCTCACCTGAAATCAATGGAGAATAAGCAACATTGAAGCTCTGTATAGATACCTCAGATTCACCGTCTCCTAAATCCTGTCCATTCTACTGCTGTAAACTAATGTTCATGGAAAGCAGTGAAGTTTTCTTGTAACAGGATTGTGGAAGAGTGATGCAGTATTAGACCTGACCTTCCACGCTGTGTTCTGTGCAATACTAACAAAAATGTTGCATGTGCGTTTTTTTTTTAAGGATATGAATGTGAACCCTTCAACAATCCAGCTGACTTCTTCCTTGATGTCATAAATGGTGATTCAACAGCTGTGGCAGCAAGCAAGGAAGATCACAGACCTGTGGACACAGGAAAAGGTAAATTGTAGAGGAAAAATCCACTGTTGGCTGGTGTAGAAGGGAATTTGTATGTGATGATGGCAAGCTTTTATTCTCTGGGTTTCATCTGGTCTAAGGGCACTTCATGATAATTTTATTTTTCCTATAATTTTATTTTTCCTACTATTAGATATACTTTTCTTTGGACTTCTTTAAAGAGCTCAGAAAATTTTTCAAAGGGAATTTTTTTTCTTCCTTCAGGAATATAGGAGAGCAGTGATACATATCAGTAATTTACAAAACCTGTCTGAGAAAGAGTAAAAAAATAGAATTGATAACTCTCAGACAGCTGACAGACAAAAGTTTTCAGTCACATCAGAGGCTGCTGTGAAGAGAAGACAGGGTAGATAGTCTAAGGAGTAATGGATTTACAGGGCAATGAGAAAGACTGGAACTAGATTAAAGAACAAACTCTAATATAGTGAGTGAAATATTGGGAAATGTTTGTTTGGGGATGCTGTAACATATCCATGGCTGAAGGCTTATAAGGGAATGGGTTTTGTAATGGTGCTTTTTGGGGATGGGGAAATAGATCAGAGCAAATATTGATTTTCTCAAAATTCAGTGAAGCATATGTTTTCTGGTGCTTCATTCTAAGAATATGGCCATTTTTGTGCCACCAAGAACAGGCAGATTATCTAGGTTGTATTAAAACTGTAGGGA